GCACTGCATAGTACTGAAATTGACAAATACTAGTACTAGTACTCTCTTCAATAAGCACCTCCATGAACGTAGATTTTTGCTGTAAATGTAGTTACTTGAATACTGGGATCTGTGCATTTTAGCTCTACCATGACCTTTGGGAGTAACTCTATCATCTCCTGGATAGCGTTGTGAACCAAGGATGCAGAGTCTTCATCAAGGTCCAGAACATCTGCAGCAGATGTTTGAGTTTGCTCCTCTTTTGTTCCTGAAGGTTCCTTGAGTTTCCATGGTGACAGTGTTCTGCCCATGACACGAGATGTCACTGGAGTACCAAACCGGATCTTTTTCCTTGCCCTGCTCTGTAGGTAAGGTGACACAGGGCTAGATGTGTGCTTGGTCCCTCGCTGTCCTTTCCTGCGTGGAGTCGACCATGGGGAAAGACGTGATCTCTTACTGTCTGGGGAAAAGGGACTTGCGCGAATTGCAGGGACTGCAGTGCTGACATCTTCTTCCTCTGTCTCCCATCCATCTCCAATATCTGATTCTTTGTCTGCCTTCAAGGTGCCTTTGCGCCGACACCTCTTACGTGGGTAGAGTGTTAGCCTTAGTCCACGAGGCATCTCTGTAATTGATATGACAGACCCGTCAGGGTGTATAATTTGCAGTGACACATTAAACTGGCCGCATAGTTGTGTATTTCCTATGTGTATAATGAATAATACAACCTTGCAAAGATCCTGTTAAAAAACAAGAAATATATGACATGTTCGTTGAATCATACAGGTAATGCCTACAAATACAATGACAGAAGGTATTCACTGCATATTGCCAAGATCAACCGATACGACAAAGACACTATTGCCTGTTGGAGCTTAGTATGGTACTAACATATATGTAAAGGCCTAATGACTAAAATGGGGGAGGGGGGCGTTATAGCGGTATCACTTCCACCTCACGTTTTCACACTGCAGGCCCATTACATCGGTTCCAGAGTACAGTTATGCTGTTCTGGACACCCAATTACAGCCAACAAGTCGTATCTGCGGATTTATTTACTTCTAATGGCCCCAAAATGTTTTTGGCGTTTGTTTACCTTGATAATATGGACGTGATGTGTCGCCGATGTTGGACTGTGCTCCCTATATCTCGATTTGATTTTAAGACCTGCCGATTATTTCTGGCTTCGGATGACCCTTGGATAGTCCGCCACCTGATAGGCCTAGTTAGAAAAGCAGTCGCTGTCTCTATATAACGCCAGAAGAGGAAATTGTGGAGGACCTACCTTGCTGTGGGTGTTTCAACGGTCACTGGAAGCAGCTGGGAGACACCTGATAGCGCCGTCCCACGGCCGAAATATCCGCGCGCGCGGCTGATAGGTCCGCGTGACGTCGAATTGGTCTGCGCGATGCGGCTGATTGGTCTGCGCGGGCGGCTGATTTCTCCGCCCCGCGTCGAAAGGGTCTGCGCGTCGCGGCTGATAGATCCTTCCCACCACCGAATGTGTCTGGCCATCCCGTGACGTAGGTTGTACCCCGTGGCGGCGGTGGGGAAGAGTTTTTAACGCGTTATTTTAATATAGCCGGTCATCCGCCTCGAACTGATTCGATACTCAGACGTCATTGGCAGGTAAAAAGACACTGTTTGTTATGAAATTTCATCTGTGTTGGTAGTAATCCGAGGACTTGATTTCTTGAACGCAAACATTGCAAGCCTCTCGTCTTCAAAATGTATTCGAATTTTCAGCGCAAAGTTTTCCTTCGATTTTTGCTCATTCTTGCTCTATCCGCCACACCCGGGCTCTCAGAAAACACGCCATGTTTCCCTACATGCGAGAGGAAGACATTGACTTCGTGTGTGTCTGTCGCTAAATCACTAGTAGTACTCAGTTATACAACAGATCTGTATAGCAACGAAAGTTGTTGCATCTCTTGTGAGGACAGGCGTGTGGAATTACCTACAGGAAAGTGTTTCCCGCGTATGAAAAGTGTCGGGTTGAGAGATCTCTGGTTCGGGAAATTATCGTCAGAAAAACTAGCCATATTCCACACTATGTCCCTTACCAGTCTTTTTCTTGTCAACGCAAGGATACAGAAGATAGAAACTGCCTCATTCGGCAGTTTCGTCGCTCTGCGACACTTGAATTTAGACCACAATCTGTTGAAACACGTTCCTAAAAACTGGTACAGTTTTTCGTATTCACCGATTGGCAGGTTACTCAAAACGTTATCCCTATCCAACAACTATATTTCTAGTCTGGAGCCTTCGTGTTTTGAAAACCAGCACAACTTGGAAACATTAGATTTAGAGAGAAACGCATTACGGCATGTACAGAGTGACTGGTTTAAGGGGCTGGTCAAACTGAACACCTTAGTCCTACGCGCCAACGAAATCCAGACGATTCCACGCGATGTTTTTGAGCCCTTGAAGCAACTGAAATTTCTTGACCTGAGTAGCAACGGTCTGGTCTGTCTGCATAGAGAGATACTCCTCACTCTACCGAACCTAGGCAGAGTTGCACTCACAATGAGTAGACGTAGTACACATCACGGTTTGGTTTTCAAACCACACGCGTTCCCTAACATGCCGGATTTGAGCGTCGTGCTGCAAAACTGTGAGGACAACACCAAGCAGTGGATACGTTTAGAGATGGTTGTCGTGGTCTTATCACTCTATTACGATTCCGGTAGCAAACGATTCGACATCGAGTGGGTTAGCACTTTATCAAACGAGAATTACGTTCCGACCAAGTCAAACCTTGGATGTGAACAGCTCCCGGAACAAGAGAGAACGGGACACTTCACGGCAAATTCTCCTTTCGTTGTTATAGCAACAAACGATGTAAGTTCTGAGTCATTTTCCACCCAATGTTCGGAAACGTGGAGTTCTGATGGTGGCATGAACCTGGTTTTGAACGGACCAGCCGGTCAAGAACTGCGTTTGTATATCTTAGACCCACGCAGTGAGTTTGCTCAGCCTTCTACTCAATGGGCCTTTGCCTTGGTGGTGAAGAAATCAACAGTTGACTCTGAAACTGCAGCTACGAACAGCGAGGGCGGCACAGAACAGCCTGAAATGTTAACTGTTCCCTGCTATGTGATCATCCGTGGGAGAAAAAAGCACGACTTGTTCTTTAACACATCCAGTAGAGTACAACAGGCAGACGATACAGCATGCTTTTTGAGGGAGGCTTTTTTGAATGACACCGTTTCGACTTTAGAGACGCATGCTGTGTTTGTGAATGCATCTAAAGATCACGACTATATCATGAGTACATCGGAAAATACAACATCCAAGTCTTTTTGGAAATGTAACATTGAATCCGGTCAATTCCACGTTCATGACACTGAAAAGTACAGTTAATACTGTAGTAGGAGCCACTCTAGTTAATCTCACTACGAATAATACAACTCCTACCGAAAACAAAACTATACAAAAGACTTCTCATCACATAGTACCAGTTATAGTGGGTACTGTATCTGCAGGTTCGCTTGTTGTGATGTGCGCCTTTGTTTTGTTTTGGTACACAAAAACACGTCGAAATCGTAATAAGAATCCAGCAATCAGGCAACCAGACTTTCCTTTGTCTGCACTGCGAAGGAACCCGATGTATGGTAGTGGTCTCACAGAGACACCCCAAGCACAGAACGCGCAATGCCACAGTCAGACCAAGGAAGTTATTGCTCAGACAGACGACAATGTTTATAATCACATCAACGAGGATAGTGTGTACGATTCGTCTGAACACACCTACTGTGAAGTAAACGATGAAAACACAAATGGAGAAACCTCACCGGTGTCGGACACTATTCGCGAGGACACAACAGAAGAAAGTACAAACAACGTAACGTTACCAGAACATAGTTTTCAAAATGACAACAGCGAAGACGACTCTACAAGTTTCTATGCTGCCGCAGCTGAAGTTGATTTGCCCACAACTGAGAACATTGTCGACAAGACTCTGCTTTATAACGTGGCCACATAGGTTACGTTTTATCTTATTTGTTTACTATGTAATATTATCCTATTATTATTGTTGAGTAACATTAATGTAATTGTTGTAAATTTTAACATGGAATCTGTATTAGTCTAGTGCATAAGCAATGTTATGTATGTATATGCTGAGCAATATGTTTTTATTTTTTGTGTACACTAGTTGACTAGTAATTGTAAAAACTGCTTAATTCAACCTCTAGGCTGCAAAAAGCTTTTAATTTGCTGTATCATGTACATGTATGTCTTTGCAATAATAAATCAGTCATACATATAAAATTTTTCCAGTATTTTTTTTTCAATTTACGGTATATATTTGCTCATTTTGCAGCTACTTTGTACGATTTACAGTATAGTCGAGAACTTTTTTTGGAAACGGACAAAAATTCAAATAAACATGGCCTTATCTATGCATGATGCAGAATTTTGAAGGCACGTGGAAGACCTCATGTTACCATGACAACGTCCCAGACCACTTAATCCTTGACTTAATCTTCTTGTAAAGCCCAGATTAGACTGAAAATCCTGGAGAGGAAATCTGTTCTAGCCTATAGTGGGGTTATTCTGAGCTTGCTGGGGCAATATTGTACAACACTCCAAACGCTCTCATTCTCCGTAAAACATCACCAGATAGATAGATGGATATAAAATGAAAGAATAAAGCGTATGTGTGTGTGTGTGTATATATATGTATATATATATATATATATATATAGAGAGAGAGAGAGAGAGAGAGAGAGAGAAATAGAAAGAAAGATAGATATAGACAGATAGATAGACAGGTATAGACAAACAGATGGATAGATAGGTGGATATATAGACAGATAGGTAGATTCGGTAGGTAGATAGTGTGTGGAATCACAAAATCAGCTGATCAAGAACAGCTACAAGAGCTATGTATATGTCTATATCTGTCATCTTCTATTGGCTCGCTGTGGAACCAGTCGGACGGGCGTTTCACAAAGCGGGTCATTTACTCCCATAGCAACGCAAACAATAGAAACCCTGGCTCACAGCAGCAGCTACGATCAGAGGTAAAACGTGTAGATCTCTCAGTTTGCCTGCCTTGTAAGCCTCCTACATTGTTTTTCTGCGAGGTTAATTATATTATAAAGACCTCATTGCACTTGGCTACCTGTTAGTAAATGGGTTGTGTGGCTAGTACGTCTGCAAGCGACGAAACAAGGCAGGAAAAGACACTGTCGCTGTCCGCCATTCAATGTCCAAAGCAGACGGGAGGACAACATGCCACCACTGACGACCGGATTGAGCAGGAGCTGACGTGTGAGTCTATAGAATCAGAAGAGTTCTACGACGAAGAGTCCAGCAACCACAGTGAGGAATCGTCTGTTTTTACCGAATGAATGAATGAATAAATGAATGAATGAATGACCTTTAATGTACTATGATATATACATGTCACGACAAAAGAATAGTTTACCTGTAGATGCGTGTATATATTGTCAAGCTAGCTGGTAAGGGAATTCAGCTTCTCGCATTTTGTTGATGGTGGAAATGTAGGAACAGACATGTTTTATGATCAAAGGTTTGTCTGTATGACCTCATTGTAAATATGATTCTATTTTACTTATGTCCACACAACGCCCTTAACTTAACTCCTTTTCGTTTTCTTTTTTCTTCTCAATGCAAGGATACAGAAGATAGAACATGCCGCATTCGGACATTTCTTCGCTCTGTATCTCTAACCGTGCCTGGGGCAAATCTACGTTCTTGGATAGGCGGAGACTATCCAGAGATGTGCCCGATCTTACGAACCCATCCAGGCATATTTATAACTAGGTAAGCACGGTTTTGGATACGATATTCCCTGTGTTCGAATCCTTATATTGCTGCGTGTTGTTGAACATGGTTGCACAGAGTAGTCAGATTTCTATAACTGTAGCTTTCACTTCTTGTCATTTTCTTATTGCTGCTTTTCTAGTGTTTGGGTTCACGAAAGAAATCAGTCGATTGCTTGCTTGCTTGCTTGTTTGCTTGTTTGATTGATTGATTGATTGATTGATTGATTGATTGATTGATAGATACTTGTGTTTCTGTATGAGTCGTCTTCTATTGTCTCTCGCTCGCTAGGGAACCAGACGGACAGGCATTTCACTCTAACTTATGTTTCATGACATGGGTTTGGCTATATGACCTCATTAAAATATGATTCTATATCACTTATGTACGATGCAGAAAAGCATAGATTGTATCAGTTTATAATGTTCAACTCTTTCTTTATTTTCACAGAGAAAACAAACTGCAGTTGCCATGGCAGAGGCTGGAACACCCACTGTGACGTCAAGCGCCGATCATATACTAGTAACTCTGTCAGATTACGACATTAAACAAGTCATTGCCACAGGCAGTTTCGCGACGGTGCAATAATTTTAATGAAGACCCTCTGTTAAGTACCCAACTTTCCTATCCAGCATCCATTATTTTGCAGTCCCCAGATTGCATGCATACCCCACTCAACCAAAAAATCCTGGGCATTAAGGTGTATATTTTGCAGACGAGTTGAATAAAATATACTATTTTCATGTTATCCTGTGTGTTCTATTATTGTGACTAATTTTATTCGAAGACGTACCGCTCCATGGGTTACATTTGGGTTGTTATAACAACACCTACGCACGCTGCGTCATATGATTTTTCTGTTAAACGTTGCCTCGGCAACTGTTGACACCTGGAGGCTCAAGTTGAGAAAAGAAGTGATACAGCCAAGGGGCTTTTGTTAGATGCGCCATTCAAATACACGTGGGCCCCTTTGATACCCTGAGGTGTAATTAAGAGGCAATTTGGCAGGTCTAGTGGTAGTTATGTACTGAAGTATGCACGCTTGTGATAGCGAGCATTGCCCCTAGGCTACTCTCCAACAGAGGATTGGGATTTGGATTATTTTTGGCGTTTTTTAATATTCCAAAATGTAGTCACAAGAAGTGGTGACGGCACACTCAATTTTTTTTCTACTTATATTAATGCCGCCACCAACACAGGGGACCATACAATACTCATTTTCACCTGAGCGAAGTGATCATGAGGAAAGTCGTGTAAATTGCTTTTCCCAGAGGCACAAGATCGGTGGCATGTCAGGACTCGAACCCGGGACCTCTTGGTTCCGAGTCGAGCACTCTGCCGCTACGCCACACGATCCTACAGTTTTTAGACTTTTTAATCGGGCTTTCCTTTTTGCAACGTTGGGTTGGCGTAAGAAAAAGTAAGCCCGATGAAAAAAGCCCCCAAAACACGCCAAAATAAGACAAAACCCAACCTTTGCTTGGAAAATACGTCTTCCATTGCCTAAAAAGAAGTCAAACCTAGTTATACCGCGTATGCTATACCATGTATGCTGTAGAATATAGTATAATGTTACGGACGTAGATATAGACTCACATACCACTGTATTTTCTTTCTTATGTTGTTTGTAACTGCAATTAGCCCTCGGGCATGTATTTGCAATAAACTTTCACTGTAATAAAGCAATCTGTCTTAAAATCCAAAGTGCTCATCGTATGCAACAAGTGCATTTTTAAAACTGTTAGATCTGCTAAACGCGATCAGTTTCTTTGTATAAATTTATAATAATGTGTTAAATGTTGTAGGGCTTTCGACGTCAGAATTTATACTTATAACTTCATGGCACTATTTTGATGGCTAATTTCCACAATTAATATTCACAGCAGAGAGGACGAGGATACAGAAGATTCTACAATTACAAGAACTTTATTCTGATATCAAAAACGAAAACATCTTCAGTACCCAGTTATTTGTCACAAAATACAGGTATATCAAATGTGCTCTTGCTGTATACTGACATACAGCACATTCGTTGTTGAAATCACTCTGAGTTTAAACCATATTGTATTCATTACAGCATCTCAACTTAAAGATAAACATAAAATGATTGGAGTACTTGCCATTGCTGATTACGATGGGGATAGCTCCTTCATGTCTTTCTTTGTAGAAGTCTTTTATAAATGCTGGTCTATGTCTATAACAGTAAGACTGTCACTCCTTGCCTTGGTGAACGCTTCTTTTGTCCTCATCCTATCCTTGTTGGCAGGACTCTTGCTGTGTCCTGCGTTGAGCTGTCCTGTTGGTATGTTCTGTCCGGTGTCCCGTGCGGTTCCATCTGGCAGATTTGGTGCACCCCCTGGTGCAGGTTGTTGTTGGCCCTGTGCAGGTTGTTGTTGGCCCTGTGCAGGTTGTTGTTGGCCCTGTGCAGGTTGTTGTTGGCGCTGTGCAGATTGTTGTTGGCCCTGTGCAGGTTGTTGTTGGCCCTGTGCAGGTTGTTGTTGGCCCTGTGCAGGTTGTTGTTGGCCCTGTGCAGGTTGTTGTTGGCCCTGTGCAGGTTGTTGTTGGCGCTGTGCAGGTTGTTGTTGGCCCTGTGCAGGTTGTTGTTGGCCCTGTGCAGGCTGTTGTTGGCCCTGTGCAGGTTGTTGTTGGCCCTGTGGATTCGCAGGGTTTCCCCGGCGTATTCTGCTGACAAGTGCCCGGCCGATGTCCGTCACAGTTTGCAAGATCCCCCTCCGTAAGTCCGGTGTGCGGGTGATGCTTGCGATCGGGTTGATTGCTGAGTTGACGGTTATCAGCGCTGCTCTTGCATGCGGGCTATCTAGAGCCGGACAGCCGCCCTCGAGTGTAAGGCAGATTGGGATGAGCACAAGAGGTAAGAGCCAGAATACGAATGCCACCACCACGTAAGTCAGGACTGTTCTCGCCTTCTGCACACTTCTTTTGTGTCTTCTCTCTGCCTCAATTTGTGCGATATTGTTAGGCTGACGTGGCCCGTTCTGTCCATGGTTATTGCCTTCACCTAACTGCGCCCCAAACCGTCTCCCTCGTCTCTCTTTCAACCCTACAAATGTGCTGATGTTTGTAAACAACATGATTATGACTAGTACAATTCCTAGAGTGGCCACAAGACCAATGAAGACCATGTGGTAAAACAGCAGGCAGTTTGCTGTGTTTACATCGAGACAGTTCCAACCCATACTAGGTAAGAAAACAAACAAGGATAGAACAAGCCAGGAGGAGACAATAGCTATAACAGCATCACGTTTGGCAGTGTATGCATGGTTGTGGAAGAATACATGGTGCCTTACAGCAATGTAAGAGTTAACAGATAGCAGCGATAGGGCGGATGCAGACACCACCTGGCTATACATCAGAAAGGTTACAATATTCATCATACTGCGCATTCTCATGAGTTCTATCGGGTCTACCGTTCGATACAGAAGTCCAACGCCTCCTACGAAGTCGGAAACCGCGAGGTTTGCCATGTAGATGTAGAGCGGCTTGTGGAGTTGTGGTGTCCGGATGATTCCCAAGATAACGGCGATGTTGCAGGTGACGATGAGAAGCCCCAAGAGCCAAGAGATGACGGCGGTCGCTGTTCCCAACTCCTCGGTGTTCTCGTACATGGAGCAGGTTTCTTGTGCCGCTGCATAGCCCTGAAACACTGTCGTGTTCTGTAGGTGCCATAGGAGGCAGGAGGCCTGTCCATCGAATGTCTCAAACGTGTTTCCAGGAGCGAACAGTGAAGCAGAGCTGTTGTTCCACATGGTGTTGGATGGGCTTCTGTTCTGCTGCAGCGCGAGAGAAAATCTTCAACCGAACTGGATGCGGAAAACACGGACAGTGTACTTCTGTCGTTGTTCCTTCTCAGATGCAAGAGCGCCAGCCTATAGGCCTATCGGGCCTGGCCTACGATACTGTACTGTGTGCCGCGCGGCCGACGTAAGCACCAGAAACCAAGTGCTGAAATGATTTGAGAACTCGGCTTCCAGCGCCAAAGAGTCACCGAGCACTACAAAATCCAGTGAGGAACCCGTTACTTCGGTACCCTTAATCTTGCGACGAGATTTTGGTCTGCTGCAGCCTCAGAGAAAACCTGGATAGTGCGACTGGAGAAGGAGCGCGGACAGTGGACGTCTGGAGTGTCGTTCTTTCTCAGATCGATGCAGATGCAAGAGGCAGAATGTACGCGCTGTGGCAGCCTATCGGGGGGCGGTTCTTGAGTTAATCTAATTCTATTTCAATAAAGATTATCATATGTATAGTAGTTCTCTTTTGGACGTTACCTGAGCAACACGTAGGGCGTCATAAGTTTGCTCCACGTGCATTGGTTGTTAATGTTGCCACGGGCAACAGCAGACTCTTTGAAATGAAGATCTTAAGAGGGAGGAAAGGCACAATTCCACCGGAGGGGTTTTATTAGATGTGTCAATCATATCACAGGTTTATATTACTCCCTGGGGCGTAATGTTTGGCTCGTTCGTAGAAAACATCTGAGGGATGAAAAACGTGTACATATATGTTTAGCACGTTCGTAGAAAACATCTCAGGGATGAAATACATGTACATATATGTACATAGCTTGAACATCTATTGAGGTGCCAGTTGAGGTCATATATTGCTGTCTCTGAATTTAGGTATAACTAATTAAAGGTAACTACCGGACAAGTGGCGTGCTATTCATGAGAGACATGGTAATAATACATATGTACTAAAAGGAAAATCAAGTTGAAAAAAACACTTATTGAGGTGCCAGTCAAGGTCATACATTGCTTTCTCTGAATTTATGTAAGAAGTAATTAAAGGCAACTACAAGGCAAGTGGTGTGCAGCTCATGGTAGAGATGGTAATAATACATATGTACTAAAAGGAAAATCAAGATGAAAAAACACTTATTGAGGTGCCAGTTCCTTACCTTAGACCTTAGATCCTCCCGCAACCTTGTTGCATAGGTCGACTCCTTGTCTGACTTTTTGTCTCCAAAGGTTTCGGTCTTGCGCCACTACTGCCATATCCTTAAGTGAGTTAAGTCCAAGTGAGGTGCCAGTTAAGGTCATACATGTATATTGCTTTCTCTGAATTTATGTAAGAAGTAATTAAAGGCAACTACCGGAGAAGTGGTGTGCATCTCATAATATGCATTGTAATAATACATATGTACTAAAAGGAAAATTAAGTTGACAAATCTGTAAAATGTGGGGTTGTGTGGCGCAACGGCAGCGTGCGCGACTCGGAATCAAGAGGTCCCGGGTTCGAGTCCTGACATGCCACCGATCTTGTGCCTTTGGGAAATAAGGCACTTTACACGACTTTCCTTACTAGATTCAAGTGAAAATGATTATTGTCTGTCCTGTATTTGTTTCTATGTGCGGGACACAACACCAGCAACAGCTGCCTCTGATCCGCGTGTATTGCACTGTTGCAATTTCAATAAAATAAAATTTATTATAATAGATAAATAAATAAAATCTGTAAAATGATAGATAAGCTTTGAAATCTAGCGGCAAAAAGTACTCTTCTAGCGGGCCAACTCCCCTGGCATGTTATCTCTGTCTATTTGGCCAATTTCTAGTTTTCCAGCCGCCTCCCAAAGCCTGGCAGAGGCTACTTGAAGTCATGTATAGATTGTATTAAGAATATTCAGACATATGGTGGCGAAACCCTGAGCGGGTCGTGTGGCGTAACGGCAAAGTGCTCGACTCGGAACCAAGAGGTCCCGGGTTCGAATCCTACCCATGTCACCGATCTTGTGCCCTTGGGAAAGGCACTTTACACGACTTTCCTCGCTTCGCTCAGGTGAAAATGAGTATTGTCTTGTCCCCTGTGTTGGTGGCGGCATTAATATGTTGATAAAACTTGAGTGTGCTGTCACCACGTCTTGTGATTACATGTTGGAAATTATAAAAAAAAAATTATACGACAGGTATGATTTGACCATCTACATTGTATATTACAGGTTTCAGCATAGTATACAGGTTCAATACTGTTTGTATACTAATATGGGTATCTTACAAATACAGGAGGCTTCTGCAAACAAGTTGAAAGCTTGACATCGCAGAATATGTCAAACAACATTGACTTTCTGGATGCAGGGCTGGAAATACTGGGTGCATGTGCACCTTAGTGCACCCAAAATTGGGATGTGCACCCATTTTTTTTCTGCACCTATATTCGTAGGTTAAAGTATGTGAAGATGTTAAATGTACAGAAGTATACAGCATATTCTTAACATTTAAGTGTCAGAAAAATTAATGCGCATGCTGATGTCATCCATAAAAATTACTTGCTGTGGCCTTACATACTTTTCTTTGCTCTGAAATCACATTGTGTAGCATTGCAGCACACACGTCCCTACTGAGATTGAGATTTTAACAGAAGATTAAATAAGTCCATGGTTCAGATCTTAAAGGCATCTAATGCAGTTTTAACCGGATTTTCAAAGCCAATATTCTAGTCATTTATCTACATACTGAGTTGAAACCACACTATCCCAATGTATACTGACCCCCATGGAGCAAAAATACCCAAAATTCTGGCGGGAAATGTTTACTTGAAGGGCCCTTGGCTGATTTTTAGGGTACCACCCAGAAAATAAAGGACTCATCTTGGGGCTTGTTTCTTCAGTTTTAAATGCCAAAAGAATGAAATGCTGATCAAAATGCACTAATGTGTAGCAGTATGTGTCAATATCACAAAGTTTTGCTGCCCCGAAATCGCATTGGATGTCTTTAACAACATTGGTTTTGCAACAGTCGACAACGAAATATAGTTCACACGTTTATTGCACATTTCCTTTAACAAACACATTCCTAAAAACCTATATTTCTTTTCTTTTACCCAAACAGCTTTACAACATTCTACAGTCAAAACTATAGTTAAATCAATTGGCATGTGTTCAGCCAAGAAGTACTAATACATAATCAAAGGTAATCATTTTAAGCAACTATTATAATGCAGCAAGTCATAATATGTAGTATAAATATGATAAACATTGCATACACATTTACACAACAAACTATATAATATATAATTGAGAATGACTAACAATGGCAACAATTAATGATATCATGCTTGTATGATAACACTTAAAGTTATGATGAGAATATATCACTGACACTTTCTTTCAATCATATTGGTGGGTAGCAAAGCATGAATACAATAAGGGCTAATAATAATTCAGAATCTGTGGGGTTCAGCTTACACATTTATATACTCCAAGTGCCCAAGTCTGTTAGCTTTAGTTTGCTCTCCGACAATGTTGGTGGGTTAGTGGATCTTTAGTAGCCAACAACAACACCAGGCTAGAGCTGTGCACCTAGACAAATTTTAGGTACAGCTACAGGTACACAGGTTTAGGTACAGGTCCGGACCTGAAACTGTATATGCGTACCTGGACGATTCAGCAAATTAACATGCTCTTCTGAACTCCTTCCATAATGACAGAAACATGAATAAACTTGTAAGTTTTTGTTTATGGACAATTCTTATACAAAACATAGGCAAAACTAATTTGTTTCAGTTATCATCTCCTACCCTGCAACACAAACCTGACCAAAGTGACATCCGGAGGAAGCATAACTAGGATGTAACATGTCTTTCAGGGTAGCTAACACTGTCAGTCTGTAACACAAACATGTACTATTATTGTACTACTATACAAACTATTTCTTGAGAGGGGTGAAGGAAGCCATTTACATCAGGGCCCATCACCCTACATTGAACCGCGACGGGTGCCGACATCGTCAACCAGATACCTTTGACCCAGTGTTGACGTCACACTTCAAAGAAGCCACATGACAAGTCTCACTGGGTCAGTCTACTGAGGAAGACCAGAGTGACTGGTCGAAAGCTCTAGTTGAGAGAATTTTTTGCGTTGGACCAAAAGTTTTAACTTTAAACACAAACATGTACTGTTCTTACTTTGGGACCTCACCAATGTCATTACAGCACCATATACATAGCTATCACAAACCTCTGCACACACTTGTGATAGTTGCATACCCTGGGCACCTTGTTTGCATAGTATCTACATCACTAAGATATCTAAGATTCTGTTTGGACTATTTTTAAGTGCACTGTACACCCTATATATAATATACAGCTGTACATAGTAAAACATACATGTTGTATAACCTTTACATCATCTCACATACTGTAAAATGTTTTAACTTGAGTAGTTTTGTTGTGCCAAATTTCCTTAGCTTGGTTTTATCATAACATGGCATCTGTGGCGCAACGGTTAGAGCGTTGCACTCGGAACCAAGAGGTCCCGGATTCGATACCGTGGCCCGGCGTTGTGCCCTTGGAAATGGCATTTTAAACGACTTCCCCACCTATACGGTGGAGTGACGCCCACCGAGCCTCTTAGGCTAATCTGTCTAACTGTGTGCCAAAAACACACTATATGGATTCGGTGCGCCAATATGACAACATCTGCACATTGGCCACTGAGAGCAGTTGAATTTTTTTCTTAATACATGTAACATGTTTTGGTGGGCTTAATCTAGTTACTAAGTAATGAGTAGGTAAACAAGAAACAAACATAAGCTATTTAGGACAAAACTGCAAACTTTACCTAACAGATGTAAAATTTGTGCCAAGTTGAATCACTTTACAGTAGTTGAATGTTGTATAGGATTTTATATCTCAGCATAGCAAGATACAATTTATAGAGCTATATAGTGGCTCTAGTAGTGATTCAAGACCATTTCTAACTGCTATGTTATACATGTACATAACAGCACTGGCCATTCCTCTATGTGGAATTCTGCTAGTTGGCAAATATTTTAAACTTTCCTTCACTTTCTTTCATGACATCAGGGAATATAATCATTTAAAAGTTTTAGAGAAGTGGATGGAAGTTAAATTTGGATGAATTCCAGGCTACCATGAGTAGTGATGCATACCAGTTCACTGGACTTGGATCCAGACTTGTAAGAATGTTTAGGTTCAAGTCCAAAAAAACCTAAAAGTCAAGAACCGAGTCCGGACTTATTACCATAAAACACCATTTCACATACCCCTTTTCTTTCCAAACCACCTAAAACCTTCCGTAGATTGTAAAATCTTCGCTGCAAAATGAAGAAAACATTGCCATTGGGCATCGTCAAGTACCGGCCTCCATGTTATGTGGCCAAAGTTTCACCCAGACAACATTGCAAGATTGCCAACATGCAATTTTGTATATGCCATGGGTTTAGGTCTGGACTTACAAGTCCGGAACTGAACCTAAACCTCTGGACTTGAATCCGGACCTGAACCTAAAATTGGGTTTAGGTATGCATCACTAACCATGAGTGAAGTAGTTGAAACTTTATTCCAACACAAAAAAGAAGTCACCATGAATTTTGACTGAAAATTCACAATGAGCTTTTTGTGCTGGAACAAAGTTTCAACTTTTCAACAATGGGTTCTACCAACACAGATTAGCTTTCATTCGAATGAAGTAGTAATTCCAACCTTAAAATACAAATACTTACTATAATTGAGTAAAGAGACTCTTTTTATTACACAACCGAGTCTTTTTATTACACAACCGTCTGTCACCTTCCTCAGGTCAATTCTGACTGGTTCACATTGCACTGCAGCACAGGTGTTACTGCCACAGATGCAAAGTGAACCAGTCAGGACTGCCATAAGGAAGGTGACAGGCGGTCACCGAAACGTCGGCTGAATAAAAGACTTGGTTGTGTAATAAAAAGAGTCTCTTTACTCAGTGTTTTACCAACCTGATGAAACTATTCACAAACTTGTTATAATCTTCTCTAAAGGCTTTTTAACTAGAGTTTGCTGTTGTCTACAACTGAAAGAGATCGTCCGAGTTCCCCTTGTCCAGTTGGTCCAGCATCCCACTGGTGTGACTGGACGTCAAGAAGCCTTTCCTCCTGCCTTTGGACTTCTTGAAGTACAGCGACGGTTCGTCCGTGCTGTTGGTTCTCCTTCTTTGGTAACTGGAGGCTGACCACGGATCCATCGCCGCTCCAAAGCCGTCCAGGTCAAAATCACTGTAAACACATGGAGAGACTCTCTAGGCTTCTCTGCCATTGGTGGTGATAGTCACAAGGCTCGAAATACTTAGCGAAATGTGATTGCTAAAGGGCCGGTGCAATAGCTCAATTGGTAGAGTGCTCGCTTTGTAACCGGGAGGTCATGAGTTCAAACCCCGGCCGGGTCATACCAAAGACTTTAAAAATGATACACACTTCTTTCTCTGCTTAGCACATATGAGAAAGAGTGTGAGAAGGTCAAACACACAGTGCTACCAGCGGACTAGCCCCCTGCTGTAGTGCCCTGCACAACTGTGTGTCGACCAAGGGCTACGGAAATGGACATGGGCACCAAACCCTTAGCATGCTCTGTATAGAGCACGGGAGACAAAGGGCCTGCATGCCCTTTTTTGTAAGGCGTAATCAGGCCTTTTTGCATAATTCGTAATCACTACCACGCCCTCCCCCCTGTACATGTATTTCGAGCCTTGTATTATCTTACAAAAATCAATCGGGAAAAAAAACCTTCATGCTGCAAAATATTGTGCACAGTTGCATGCTATAAATGTTTCAATGGATATGCTTATCACATCACATCACACACTATAAAGGCATATGAGTGGCACACTAGTAGGCAAACATGCAATTGAGAAGGACTTTTATTCTGGAAGTACAACATGCAAAACAGAAATCATAAAACTGTCAACACAGAATCTAAATCCAGCTGCTTGTTTACTTCTACAAAAGGTAAGGCAAGGGAGATGGAGCATAGAACAGATCACAAAACTATATATAGCTGTTTAAAGTTAAAACTTTTGGTCCAGTAGACTGACCCAGTGAGGCTTGTCATGTGGCTTCTTTGAAGTGTGACGTCAACACTAGGTCAAAGGTATCTAAGCCATATACATCAGGGCCCATCACCCTTCATTGAACCGCGACAGGGCCGACATCTTCTACCAGATACCTTTGACCTAGTGTTGACGTCACACTTCGAATCAAAGAAGCCACGCGACAAGCTTCACTGGGTCAGTCTACAGAGGAAGACCAGAATGACTGATCGAAAGCTTTAGGTGAGAGAATTTTTTGTGTTGGACCAGAAGTTTTAACTTTAAACATGTAACTACCAAACACAGATGAACTTTCATGCTACTATATATATCTACAGTCACCTTTTATTTTCACTCAGTTTTTGTACTGCACTTTTCCTTTCTGATATCTGCAAGTCCAACTTCTTTAGGAAATCTGTCACTGAAGATGCTTCATCCTTATTGGTTACTCCAGAAGAGGCTGCACTTGCTCCTTTACTCTCATTGGCTACTGGTTCATCTTTATCTGATGCCTGATTGGTTGATTCTGTGTCTCTACTTCCATTGATCGGAACATCCTCTGTTGGTCTGTCCTGATTGGTTGGTTTGAATGGTGGTGATCCTAATATTGCACTGTGATTGGGCAGAATGTCAGACTGGCCCAATCCATTGACCAATGAGGTGGAAGTGGAGGGTTGAGGTTCCGTCACAGGGATGTTCAGTGTTTTTCTGAGAAAGAGGCTGTCATTGGTGTACAGCTTGTTGGCTCTTCTTATCTGTTCCATCTGCAATAAAAAACAACAACAACAAAAGACAGTGTGTTATTAGCCATTTAGACATAATGTACCTCATTTTAACCAATGTATGTACCAATATGAAACATTTGCAAAGCAATTGCATAATGTTTACCTTCGCATATGGTCTTTTCTCTTAATTCTTAAACAAACATAATTTTTATTCATAATCATATAATGGCCAGATCAGACAGGAGTCTAATCCCTCCTGCTATAAAACTGCAACATGATGTAACCCAACACTAGTTACCATGGTGATAGACCTCTGGTTCTGGTCATTGGCCTTATTGGCCTGAATTGCTTTTGTTAAAAACAGAGAGAACAAATTCTACAAGTTCTGTTTTCACTATATGGTACATGTATAACTGAAGCTTGGGCCAATCAACACATACAATTCCCTGCATGTTACCGTTTCATCATGCAGCAAACAATTGTGAAATAGTCTGGCCAAAGGTCAGATCTAAAGTGCCAGTGGGCTAATGTCTGATGTTAGACTTGGCTAACAGCCAGTAGCAAATTGGCTTGATTCAAGCTAATCAAAGCTTAAATGTTATCCAAAGCTGAGTGTTAGATAAAGGAGTCACATATCATCAAATCAGAGTGCCCATATAAGTTATAACATGTAAAAATGCCCAGACTATAAAATATAACAATTTATGACAACACACAGTTAAATATAACATTTATATGTGTCCCAAAGTTTGCCAGCCTTTTATCTAGACCAAACATGATTCTGGCACCAGCTTGCTGAGTGGTGTGGTCGGTATTTGGAGAATGGTGCAGTTTAAATCCACAGCTTATCAAATGACGCACTAGTTTTAAGTGCTACTGAAGCTGTGCAGGCCATGTTGCCTTGAACAGGGATATTTTGGATGCATATAGTTTACTGGAAAAGACCATGGCACTTGCATATGCAGGTTAGCGCAGATATTTCTGATGTCTACCTGCACCTAGCCTGCAGTGCACTGGTCTATATATACTAGTACTGTTTTTTTTTATTATATTAAGTTATTAACATGTAGACGTATGTAGATTTTTCTTTACGTCATTGACTTTACAAAAGTTGAAGTACAAAAGACATACATGTAATCGCAATGGTCTCTGAACAGTTAAATATTAGTGCGGTCATCCGATTCCATACTTCCTAAATTCTGAGTGGTGAAGGTAAAATTTGTCTGGTGCAGGTAATTTTCAATGTTACCTGCACCAGTGCATGTATGCAGAAGAACATATTTTGAGCCTTAAAATGACTAAAGAATGAATCAAATCAGAATAGCAAGTTGATCATTTTACTACCACAAAAAGGATGTATAAAATTACCAGGGACAGCTTAAATGTACTTAAATTTTAAGTTGAATGTTTTGAACTTTGAACACCTCATCTAGACTCTAATATATGTTAGCTGTCGGTTTGAAAACAAAGACACTCGAATCTAATTTTATGACTAGTCTGTGATTCACCATTTCCTTCTAACAGGATATAAAATATGATTGTACTGAACGCAGCCACTAACTGTTTATATTGCCCCAGGTCATATGACCGACCATATGTTTACCTTTGCCATACTTGTAAATGTCAGACTGACTAAGACTGACTACCTAGCAAATTTGTGTTTACCCTACAAATGTCGTCCTGTTAGCTTAAACAAGTAAATGTTCGTCGATATATGCAATATTATAACTATTCAAAATATTATAACGAAAGTATTATAACATATTCCAAAGATATGACTGTCTGCGACAAATACAAATCACAAAGTTGATGCTATCTGCAAATTTTGACATGACATGACAAGGAGCGTCTACTTTGAAGGACCAAAACTCACCGTAACGCCATATTTTAGGGAAATTCCTTGAAGTGTGTCGCTCGGAGATACTTGGTGAGTGAAGTATCGCTCTTGGACTGTGAATTTCTTGGTGCTTCCGTAAGATTTTCCGACTTTTCCACCCCCAGAGGTGGCCAGCAAGGACTTCTTGCTATCTTTGCCAGCCATTTTGGGACAAGGTGGTGATCAACAAACGCAACTTTTTGTACAACTTTTTGATGACAATGACATTCTCATATAACGTATATTAAAGATAAGATAGACCAAAAAAAAGTTGAATATGTAACTTTAATATTTTGAAATGGGGAAGTACTTTTGTATTGTTCAGACAACTTATTTCTTGCAAATAATAAATTTTTGTTTTGATGCGCTCTTTTCTCGCATGCCAAGTCTCGCGGGATTTAGCGTGGATGACTTACTCACTTCCGGGTTTGCCAGGTCAAAATAGAAATTTCAAAATTATACTGGGTACAAATATTGTTGTTTATTTGATCTTAGGGAATTGCGAAGGAGTTTTGAGGGTTTTAGATATTTTTGAAGGATGCGAAGATGTCGTTCAAGCGAGAAGGAGACGATAGGAGTCAACTGAACTGCCTTAAGGTTCGATTTATTCCAAGGTTTTATATGGTTTCTTTTGCTTTCTTCCCGAATGTTTACGTACGTATAACATGAATATAAAAGATCACGGCCTTGCTTTGAAGCATTTGATGTGAAAATTATATCATTTCCTCGAGTGATCACAATAAAAAAGGCATTCATAGGTAGAAAAGAAATTTAATATGGAGTTGTTTCTCTACCTCCATGATACTAGTCACGTAAGTTGTATAAATTATATATCCATGTAAAAATTCATTGGAAAGGGATCTAGGGATGGTTCATTTATGCTCACGATTCTTATGAATTTATATACATTCATCTCTATTTTCCTTTGTTTTTAAACAGAAAAGAAGGGTGACAGAGCTCCTAGCTGAAGACATCCCAGACGATGAAGCTTTGCTGATGAAAAATGGAAGGTCTGTGTTACAACGAATGAATGAAGGATTGATCGAATGAATGATTGATTGAATGAACGAACGATTGAATGAATGAATGAATGAATGAATGAATGAATGAATGAATGAATGAATGAATGAATGAATGAATGAATGAATGAATGAATGAATGAATGAATGAATGAATGAATAAATGCAATGCGGTGGTCTTTCTCACTAGTCTCCAATTTTTAGAATTGAATTTAGCAGAGAATAGATCAAGATACTTACTAGTATTGTTTTCTAAATTCCTTTTAATATTAAACATTCCTCACACTCACAGTCCTTTTGTCTTGCTGCTAGGTTGGCCTGTCTGGTTTGCAGCCACAAACCTGTGTTTGACACAGTCGACATGCTGACAGTTCACAGAGGGGGCAGGAAACATCTCAACAGTAAGGAAACTAGTGGATTTGACTGATTGTTATTCCTACCTAACTAGTTACTTAGTAAGGGCTATTTCATAGGGCTAACCCTGGTAGCTGGATAATATAAAATAAGAAGTTAATATGAGTTACCTATCATTGTCTTAGGCACTAGTCATAGTACGTCGATGAAGGTTAGACATCCAGGTAATACGATACGCCAAAAAGCAGTTACGCAAGCAACTGGATATGATCATATCCAGTTGCTTGAGTAACTGCTTTTTGGCGTACTAGTCATAATATCTTCAGTTTTGCCTCAAAAATCTTACATGTACTTTCACTTTAATAAAAATTCATGGCAGGAAGAAAATAGGTTAGCAGCAGTTTTTCATTTGTGTATTAGGGTAAACTGGCATTGAAAGTCTGATATCAGTGTGCACAAATGTAATGTTACTGTTTCATTTTTCAGACCAGCAGAAGTTTTACTCCAAGAAACAGGAGCTCGCAGACCTCATCCTAAAGAGGAAACAGGAACAATTTCTATCAGCACAAGACCAGGTGATGATGGTTTTCAGCTTTGACAAAGTTCTTGATTATCGTATTTGGATGACAGTTAAAGTCCTCCCGCAACCATGAACATGGTCGCATATGGTGGCGCCCATCTCCGTTTCATAGCCCTTGGGCCACACAGTTGTGCAATCACTTTTAATAGTATAACTATAATGACCCAGTGAGGCTTGTCACATGGCTTCTTTGAAGTGTGACGTCAACACTGGTCAAATGTATCTGGTAGACGAATTTGTGTTGGATCAAAAGTATTAACTCCAATAGAGTCCAAACATGTAACTACCAACACATATGAACTTCCATGATCGTAATTTTGTTTTGTGCTGATTTCAGGAGGACCCTGCACCCCTTCTCACCCAGACTCGGCAGATTACCCAGCATGCCTTGCTGACAGCGGCTACACCGTACAACCCCTGCGTAAAACAAGGCAGGAAGAAAGAGGAGGAACAGCCAAAGGGGTAGGTGTAATAAACCAGTTCACGGTTTGAACTGTTCATGCGTTTATTATGTTTACTGATGGAAAACATATTGTTTTTGCTCTGTTTCTTCTTCTCCAAACCAATATTTATTATTCCCAGTACCACACGTAGAGCTAAGTGACTAATCTAAAATCTGTTTGTTAGTAGCAGAAAGCATTCAGCACCAAGGCTAGTACTGTATTGCGCAGTATGTTGATCGGCAAAACTGATGTTCTCTGGTTTATTGGTAGTGTATAGCATTCATAATCAAAGTAAACACTGATTAGCATTTAGTTGAGGGGCACATTTTCTCTATTTGTTGATAGTGGAAAGCATTCAGCACCAAGGTAAGGGCCAGTTTTTGTGTACATCGAATGTCAGGATTGAAAAATACTAATTGTATTTTTCTAGCCATGCATTGACATTTAGCTTTCTTTTCTTTCAGAAAGGAGACTCCTTTCTTCCAAAAAAGGCAAGAATCTAGTGAGGAACGTTTTGTTGTGCAGCCTTACAAGTCAAAAAGAGAACCAGTGGCACCAAAACAAAACAACAGCCAAACTCCAACATCTTCTTCAAACTCTGATAGTCAATCCAATTTTCAAAACAAGACTTCTACCAGAAATTTGCCCGCCTTACAAAAAGTTACGACTCTCCAGAAAGAGACAGCAAAATCAACGGACCATACAAAGTCTTGGAAGGATGTTCAGCAGCAAGGGACTCCTAAAGTAGTGCTTGGGAAAAAACAGAAACCAGTTAAAGAAGAAAGGAAGCCTGAGTTATCAGAAGAAAGACGAAAGGAAATTGCACATCATCTGAAACTAACAAGGTAAGGGTGGTCACAACATCTTTTAGTTAGTTAGTTAGTTATATATAAGAGTTGTGGCTCTAGATATATGGCATCTATGTTGGTGTACCTCTATAGCTGGTATAACTGCCCTTCAGCTTAACACACCAGCTTTGTAGGCACATGGCCCGGTGGCAGCCTGTTACACCTAACCCTTGAACATCTAACTCTTAACATTGTTTTAAAGCTATCTAATGACAATGCCCCTACTGTACTTGGTGACAGTGAATTCCACTCTGTGATAGTTCTAGGAAAGAATGAATTCTTGAACTCCTCAATCCTTGGTTGATAACTCTGGTACTTGAAGACATGACTATTTCTTGTTCTTTTCTGATTTGGTGTTAGGTAATTTCTATGGCCACAGTGTCAAAAATATCAGACAGAGTCCTAAATGATGTTTTGTGTTGTTCTCTTCCTTTCAGCTCTGGTTGGAAGAGAGACCGTGGTGGACAGTGGGTGAAGGATGAAGATGTAGAATTTGACTCTGATGAGGAAGAACCTCCCCCTCCCCCTTTGTGACCTTGGGTGAAGGTCACACATCAAATAACTTGTATAATAAACAAAGCTAATAAGTTACAGAAGCAATCAGTTCCCTTTAGCTAGATAATTTTATTCACAGCTCCCTTGTAAGCAATGCCAAAAATAAACAAATACATTTCGCTTAATTTCCCTCAACGTATTGTCTTGCCACATGATTGTCTTTCTTAAGATTGTCTTTAACTACGACATGTAGTATAAGGCTTCTTTTTAAATTAGTGATTTTAACCTTAGGCACCTTTCTTTCTCAATACATAATTTTTCTTCTTTGATATACCTAATCTATAGAGAAAGGCAAAATTGGTGGGGTCTAAAGTATCATTCAATGACATACATTTCCTCAGATTTCTGTTCTCATCTTAAACTCTATGCAAAATATTTACTTCAAAATGTTTAGAACCAAGTATGCAGATTTAGGCCACACCGACTTAATTTTATGAATGACATCCTCTGAAGACCTCCAAACTAGTGTGCGCGGGCGAATAAAAAAAATTCTGGCACATGCCGGCTTTTTGCGGAATTTATGAATCGGCACTGTACATATGTACTGAGTTCTTGAGTCCTGGAGCTTCGGTAGCCTGGGTACCTGGCTCTGTACTGCCGCTAACTACCATGGACTACCCAGGCCTAGAGCCAGACCTGAGCCTCGGTGGACGTGATCCTTTTTTTCTCTTTTTAAGAACAGGCAAAAATCAATGCGCGCGGATGTCATCAGTAAAATTAAGTCCGTGTATCCAACTACTAGCCTGGTTACCAAACCTATTATAGCTCCCGAGTCCTACATCCTCTCCACAAATATGTGCGGAGAGGATGTAGGACTCGGGAGCTATAATAGGTTTGGTAACCAGGCTATCCAACTACAGCCTAGTCCCCGTGCATGGCCATGGCCTTGGCAATGAGCCTGTCTGTCATCGGAGCTGTCTCCTTCAACGCCTTCCTCTCAAGCAGAAGGTTTCTGAAAAAAAAAACATTAGAAAATTACAAAAATACTAAATTAGAAAGGTAATATCTGCAAAGCAAATTCATAATGTTTACCTTCACATGGCCGAGCTACAATATATAACACTGGTTTGTTATTCTTACTCAAACCCACTCAGTCAAATGTGGTGACCATGCAGCCCCTCTTAAGCTCAGTTCTGCATGGAACTTTTATTAATGTAACCCAACACCAGTTACCATGGTGACAGACTGGTCATTGCCCTTTTTTTCGGAGAAGAAGAAGAGGAAGGAGAAACATACTTGATAATTGATACTTTATTCGGATATCCATAGCAAAAACAATATGTTTTCCTTCTGCAAAGGTTTACATAACAGTGATTCGATAAAAATTCATGTTCAAACACTGATCCTGAACCTGAACAGGTAACCCACCTGGCCAGCTGGTGATGTCGTTTCTCAGATGACTTGATGGCAGCGTGGATCAGAAACAGGTTAAACACGTCACGCTGCAAGAAAAGTCACAAAAGGCAGGGTGAAAATTTAAACAATGAATTTTGAACTTTTAATCAAACCACTGCATTGATAAATGGAAAGACAGTAACAACTAGGACTTTCCTTAACTGTTGGGGGTGAAATATGAGCATTTTTAGTTGATTCAGAAGCAGAATCATTTTTTTTTACAAATCAGAAAAAAAACGAAGAGGCAAATCCGAGAACCAACAAAATAAATTGGTGTGGCCGAAGGGTGGTGCCCAATAACATTACTCTGACCTGTGCATTGCTGCCCCCTATGGTCACCACCTGGTATCGCACCGGGGCCAGGAGGTCCACCGCTCTGGCAAAGTCACCCTCGTCATAGGCAAGAAACGCCTCACACATCGCCACACCAACCTTCTTAGCAATGGTGGACTGTGTACCTTCGTGTTCACTGTAAAATAAAAGCATACATTGCCATGGCGACAGTGGTTGCTGTTAGGGGTTTGTTTATTAGGGGTTTTGTATATTGTTTGCATGGCACTGCCATGATTTCATGATTTTGAGTAAGCCTTGGTACCTGTTAAGTCTAGACAGTATAGTGTATAGTGAACGAACCCTGGGGTCACAGAAAGTAGGGCATCCGGGGCAGACAGGTTTTCCCAAGGGTTTCCAGGAATGTGGGCATGTCAACATGCAGAGCTGGGAGACATTCCTGTGGACATTCCATGCCTGTGGACAAAATTCCTGTACAATTCCTAAAATTCTTGCAAACTGCACACAATACTGTACCATTAGGCTCCTCCCTGAGACGTCGCCAAAAAAAAGGCATAGTTCTATCAAAGTCAGTCTAAACTATTATTAATGACCATACAATAGAAAAACTTTGTGAAGTTATCTCCAATTGCTTTAAAAAGAGAGAAGAAATCCTTTTGAAGGCTTAGTTTAGTTTATTCTCTAGTAGTTGTTAAGACTTTTACGTCATTCTGTTATCCTTGTATCCTATCATGTTACTCAGTATGATGTACATGTAACATCACATTCTGATGTATGCATTTAGCCCCATGGGCATGAACATGCAAATAAAGATTCATTATTATTATCAAATAGTAATAGAATACCTGATGAAGTCCTTAAGACTGTTGACAAGTTTCTTGGCTGCCTGGTCCTGCTTTGCTCCGAGACACGACATGAGAACATGCAGGTCGTTAAACACCAGGATGTGGTCATCAGCATGAGGACGACAGGTCTGGTACAGGTCCTCCCACCTGCTACCTACATCCACACCTGGGCGGAGGGAAAGAAGAACATCTCACATCTATCAAACTAGGCAAAATACAAACTTATCTTTAAAATTTCCCAAAGTCCGATTAGAATCCGGCCGGAGAAAGTTTGGTCATCAGCGTGGGGATGACATGTCTGGTACAGGTCCTCCCACCGGGGACCTACATCCACACCTGGGTAGAGAGGAGAGAAAGGGAACAGTGAAAGTGTTCTGCCTCTGGACCATAAGGTTGGGAGTTCGAATCCCGGCTGTTGCTGGGACGTGCAGGTCATTAAACACCAGGATGTGATCATCGGCGTGAGGTCGGCAGGTTTCATACAGGTCCTCCCACCTCGTACCTACATCCACACCTGGAAGGAGGGAGGGAACACAGAAAGTGTCATGAAAGTTCCCTAGTTCTACTAGTTTAGAAGTATCTCTGATACACATAGAATCTCCAGGACACTCCATTTCGCTGGACAAAGTGAAAATTCTGGACTCTTTGAATCGGATTTCTTTGCAAGAGGAGTAAAAGAGGCAGTGAACATTCAGGCCAACCGTCCAACACTGAACAGAGACGGGGGGCGACATAGGTTATCTGCCACGTATGACCCTTTGCTGCTATCACATGTTTTTGACATGACGTCCCGGAAGCTGCAGAAGAAGGGTCCATTCCGTGAACAAGGCTGATGGAGTCTACAAATAGGATTTTGGGTTGAAAGGCACCAAAACTGAAATTAGTATTTGTCCTTTAAATAACAGGCGACACTTTAATTCCGGACTGACACTCTAATTCCGGACTACCTTTCACCACTAAGACATAGTTTGACAAGGAGACTTAATATTCTAGAATATGTTGTATTACTCGCTGAAAGTTACGTAGGTATCATCGATAGGTCCCCTGGGGCTAGGTCAGTTCTGCAGAATTCTGCATTCAGGTGCAGAATTCTGCAACCCAAATGCAGAATTCTGCAATCTAAATGCAGAATTCTGCATCCCATATGCAGAATTCTCCATCCAAATGCAAAATATGAAGGGATTTGCAATGCCTTATTTATTTTATGATGTTAGAGAGTGGACTCACACTTGTCCTACATGACGTATGTGTTTGCTATCCCTGTGCTGCAAATTTTGCCATTACTGACAGGGCCAGTGTGGGAACCACTGGAGGCAAGTAGTATACTAGTATCCTGGCTCCGTTGATTTGAACCTGGAGTCAGATTTTTAACTCCATGAAAAATGGAGGTATTGTTTTTGGCATGCCTGTCTGTCTGTGTGTGTCCGTCTGTGTGTCTGTCTGTCTGTGTGTCTATCTGTCTGTGTGTTTGTGTTTCCGCACATTTGTAGCCAGCATAACATTTGAACCTTTGGATGGATAGATGGTGTTGGGTACATGTAGGCAAAGGTCAAGGTCAACTTTGGGCCTCCTGGTGGCTGACCTTGGTACTGCAGCACAACTTCCGTTTTTTGTATCTTTTGTCCTGAACATGCTATGGTCTTGATTTTTGAATGGTGGATAGCTTTTCCTGCCAGTAATAAGTGGTGTGGGTTTGGTCCCCCTAGCAGCCTGTTCTGGAACTGCAAGGGGGTTTCTGTTGAAACCTTTCAGAGCAGATAAATTCACAAAGGAACAATGTATTCATTTTGTTATGTGGGTAGCTTAGACAGAGATGTATATCATTATTGCAAAAGATGACTTCATTTGCATAATTAATGAGGAAATTGTGTGATTCCAGGATTTGTTGTTTCTCAGATTTTTTTTAGAAAAAATCAGGAGCAACAGGGCGAAAAAAAAACAGGCCAAGTCACCCCATGATAGCCAGAAATGTTACAATATGAGCCATGAAGTAAACATACAAGGCTGGTTAATAATTAAAACAATAGATTTTGAACTTTTAATGAAACAAAATTGCATTGTTACATAGAAAAACTTAAGGACTAGGAAGAAAAGGACTTTTTTCAAACATTAGGGCCAAAATATGTCTGAGCATTTTGTAGTTTAGAACCAAAAAAATTTTTTTTTGCAAATCAGAAAAAAATAGGACAAGGGCAATCCGAGAAGCAACAAATGAAATTGGTGTAGCCTTAAAGAATAAATTTACATCTGAAGCCCATATTTCATGGAGGTATGAGATTTCGGAACTCTTGTTTTTTTAAATGTTTGATGCAGATTTTGCTGTTCAACCGCATCTTATACTAGCCTGAACACCTTTATTTCACTTTCACTCTAAATATATACATTTCTGTAACAATCAGTGACCATGTAGGCTCAACCACAGTTCAGAGCAAACGAGTCTTTGAAAGTAGAATGTCCTATAGGAGGGTCGTCTTAAGGCTCCATAGGCAAGCATAGCATCTCATCACATTCACCACAGTCTCGAGACACAAAACATACAAGACAGCGACATTCCGTCAAGTACTTTCCAAAAGCACAAAAGAGTTTGCAGATGGCACACACATTCCAGGCACAAGTACTTTCAGGTCATTCAGGTCACAGTATTTCATGCGGATTGTCATTGTCAGAAGCTTGAGGTCTTGGCGTACACTTGGCGTGATGTTATACTCGGTGCTCAACGATGGTGGCCAGAGATGGCTGGGTACATGGCAGAAGTTAAGTTGGCCGGCAAGCTGGCTTTGTTGTTGCAGCACGTCACAATCGGGGTCGGTTTGCAGCAGGTGGGTGATGAGGCAGGCGGGTGAGGCAGGCGGTTGTAGGCGTGGTAGCGCAGCTCAAGCAGCGATCAGGCAGGTGGATTCGTTGCCGGGCGATTCAGGAGGCATGATAACACAATAGGGGTTGCGACAGGTCGGGCTGCTCACTGGCCACCAAATGTAGGGATGCAAGAGAAGAGACGATGGGAGAGACATAATGTCATTGCACTCTGTGGTGGCTATGGTGGACACTTCTTGTTTTCCTCTAGAATACATTGCTGCAAAACTGATTTTCTCTGATCCAAATTAAAAGTAATCCACCTAGAGGAGGTAGTTCAAGACATTGGTGGTGGATCCGGATCAGACATCAAATTTTCCCTGTATGTAAATCTGCCTGCTTTGACGTACATCAAGTACGTTACCTCCAGTACTATCTGATGTACAAGATGTGTAGAGGCGCCATGAATTTTTGGGGGGCGGGAGCAAAACTTGAGTTGCTTCCCAAAAAAATCAATGCCGCTGCACAAGTCTGTGAAGGAGGCTACTAATCTGCATTTTCGTACTTATAAGACTTTTGCCTGTGTGTGTGAATTGGGTCACATTGATTTGTAAGTTGTTTAACAAACAGACAGGAGACTTTCACAGCTACATGTATCTCTGATATACAATAACAGTTCAAGTTCATTTTGTAAAGCTGTTATTACTCATATTCTTATGTCTGCCTAATATAGGTCAAAGCCAAAGTTCTAAATTATCAAAAAGTATTGTATGGCAGTCTTATACCCAAAAAGGACCATGTTTTGTCAATTTCATTCCATGCACTTAGAAATCCAATAGGAATAAGTCATCTATGATGTTATGATGACAAATTACTTCATAATCATAGTACAAAATTTTGCCCTCTCATGCCACTATAACCTCGTGACTCTTCACTTGAAGATTTTGCATCAGCATAAAAATTGCTCTTTTCCTTATCTCCACTGTACTAGTCTTGCTACTGCTAACACCAGAAGCTGTTTCATGCTGGGTTAGCTGCTGCCTGTATTTACTTAAGGATTAGCTTGTAACAAGGTGTGACAGGTTAATTTGTATCAGAGTGCTCCCAAGTGTCCTCAGTTAGCCCCTAGCTGACAGAAAACCCTGATGAACACATTCAGCCTGGGGGTTCCAATGCATTCAAAAGTTATCACATTTTGCTGCTAATAATACTAATAGTGCAAACTTTGCCATATTAAACATTTTGTGCTGAACACACATGGTTATCTCTACTTACATGTACATGTCAATATATAAGTGTTTTCCCATTCACATAACTGAAGGCTCAATGTTCCTTCTCTAGATGCAAAGCACTCTGACAGAACTTCTCATATAAGGTCATATTTACATATATAAGGTTGACACTCTGTCTGTAGTTTTCAAATGTTGTGCTTGAAAAGATATTGTCTGCAACAGGCAAACTTCTGTCAGTCAGTCACTCAGCCAGCTAGCCAGCCCTACATTGGTGGCACAGGGCGCCAGCAGGGCAGGGTACCTGCCACCACAGTGTGCTTAACCACTGCTAACTTGGCAGTTTGGTCAAACTTCTGTATGCTGCCGTGTGCATCTGGAATACCTTAGATGATGTGTTTGGTTTCCTGTATTGCTCGGCATACACATGTATGTATTTGTGTAGTTATTTGTGCATATCGTGGTGCAGCAGTATCTAAACCTGATAGAAGATCACAAAATTTGATTTAATCTGGAACTGTATACTGTACGATCTAGAAAACAAAGCTGGGACTGATCATGGAGGTACAATGTATACACCTCCATGGACTGATCTAGCCTGGATGCCAGGCATGGCACACTGGGCCCATTGTAATATCTCAGTGTGCAGTTGGGGGCTGGGTGAATGATATAGGTCACTAGAAAAGTGGTCTGAACTCATATAGAATTGCTATATTAAAGCTTATTGTAATATCTCAGTGTGCAGTTGGGGGCTGGGTGAAAGATATAGGTCACTAGAAAAGTGGTCTGAACTCATATAGAATTGAACACTATCTGATTCTTAAGGATCCTTAAGCTTTGCGGCTTTCGCAAAGAGCAAGGGTATTGTGAAGAGGAAAACTAACAGAAGTGGTCATTGAGATTGATGTGCACAACCAGATGGTCTGGTGGGCTCTCACAAATCAAACAAAGCCAACCTGCCAACCTGAATTATAACCAGGAACTCAACTTTATTATATCAACTCAATTTTGGAGAATGTTGCCTTGTAACTACACGTATAAGCTACATTTCATTTCAGTTCTATTCAGGATAGATGGGTACGGTTAGGTACATGTAGGTCACCCTAGACTAGTGGCCTTATCCTGCCAGCATCTCTTGGGACGTCCCTTGAGGAATTGAACTAATGCGGAACATAGCTCCTGGTATAGGAACCCTGCCACTTTCCTGCAGCTGGTCTAAATTTTGATCACACTGAAACTGAAAGTGAAACACCCACACTGTAGCCTTAGGTTTCAGTTCAAATTTTTTTCACAACAGAACAAACTCTCCCTCTAACCTCCTTGATATACCTTATATTGCATGTTTTGTCCTTTGTCAGTACTCCTTTTTCCGAGACAGTGGAAGATGAATGATCCCACTTTTCCTATAATGTGTGGGTTTTGTGATGTTGTGATTTATTGAAATTGCAACAGTGTTAGAGGAGATGTAAGAGGAGAGTAGTTTTCTTTTTGT